CCCCAAAACCCCAAAACCCCAAAACCCCTTAATGCAAAATCGTTTTACATTTATGAAATTAAGATTAATTTGTTTCATCATTCAATTTCATATATTTCACTTCATGAAATTTTAGGTGCAGTTATTTCTATCAACTGCTTCATGCTTGCTCTTTTAAGTTGAAGGACCAGACTTCAACAACTGAGGGTCTAAAGCTGGTTTTGCCTGGAATAATACTTTCAATTTTGTACTTTTAGAATATTTGGTTTCCAAAAGCGAAATAAGTGTTCTTCATCTAACTGTAAACTTGTCTAAAGTCATCAGAGATAACTAAGTCACTTTCACCGAATTGTATTCTTCTCTTGGTTTGATCTCTTGCTACTGTAGTTTGATAATATGGTTAGCCTTTAATTGCGTTAAATCTCAAGTTCTCAGTTAGATTGAAGAGGAAGCAAGTGTCATCTCCTCTTTTATCAAAACTTGCCGACCATCCATGAGAAGCATAACCTCCAACTATATAAGCAGTATTCTTTTGATCATTATCATCATTTACCTGGTTTCCATCCTTATCTTCACTTTCTACTTTCATCAAAATAATATTTGCTTGTCTCACAATGCTTTGCTTATCTTCAAATGCCTCGATCATTGCCTGAATTGAATAAGAGTCTTAGTTGGATTTCTGCTATAATGGAAATATTTTTATAGGTTCTTTCCGATCTTTGATTATCTAGTTGTACGGCAAATTGAAGTAAAGTATAACTCCTAAAAGGGGGTTATCACTAATATCTTACTTGAGAGATCATCTAGAATACTTGAATTCTTGAAACACTTTTTAAGAATAACATCTAGGTCATTCGATGGGGGGTCCTTAAATAGCTTGTAATTTTTATGGAATATTCCAAACATTGATCTTTATACTGATTCCTCCACGATATTGTAATCAGGAATATCAAGTTTTTCCTCAATAGCTCTTAGAGCTTTTTCAATTTTACTCACTACATCTGCCTTTTATCTTGATCTATTATTGTCAAGGATTCCTTGTTTATTAGGCCCTTACATCTCCATTTCATTTTCAAAAGCCTTCAGTTTTTATGGAATCTTATTCTAAACATCTAAAATGCCATTCTAACTATTGAATAATCCAGAGTCTTTTTGTCCAGAAATATTTCTTGCTTTCCCAAACAATTGAGTCCTGAAATTAGTTGATTTTTAAAACCTAAATGGTAAAATATGTTCAAATAAATTACAGATGAAGTTGTTCAATTGAATTTTTAGCCTTATCTAGATTATTTTTATTTAAATTAGAATTCATGAGTGACTGAATATCTACAGACTTGAATGTTTAATCACTAGTAATAATGGGCTTTCCACTTAGTTTCATATCAATTTGAATATCACTCACTGTTGTTCGCTATTTATAGATTTATTCCTATTTTGATTGTTAATTTGATATATAAATACTTTTAGCTGCTTATGACCAGCAAAGAGCTGCAAGAATTCTAATGGAGTTGTTTCCTCTGCTTATCTCTTAACAAATTCACTCATGAAATCTATTTCCTTATACTGCCGTGATAATTCAAGCCGATCACTTTTTAGAATGGCTGATTTTTGCTAGACTATTTACATAAGGGAATTTATTGTCTCTTCTAGTATTCTAGTTATTTATTATTAGATTCCTTCTGCATTAATTTTGATTAGTTTTATTTTGTCCTGTATATTTCCAATTTGCTCTACGATAAGCTTTTTCTTCTCATCTAAGCCTACATCAGCATGTTTTGCGTCATTTAGAGCATTATTATAGGCTGTTGCTATTGGAATATAATAATGTTCCTTACTTATTGACTTCAACCCTATGATAGTTAAGACAATCAAATTTTACCATTATTAATTTGAGAATCGTTAGTTTTAGAGTTAATCATACAATCTGAGCAATATACTTATTAGCAGCAGTAACAATAATACTCGTTTTTCTTATTAGGATGTTCTTAACAGTTGTCAAAATCTAAAGGTCTTTTTTCTGTACCCACTCTTTCATGCTTACTCATAACTTTTTATACTATATTATTTGGCAGGTTGTCATGAGCTTGACTATCGCAATCTTCACAAAAGTAAGCATTATCATTAATGCAAAAAACTTTGGCCTCATTACCACACTCGCCACAAGATTTAAGCTAGATAAAATCGTTAAGTAATATTACTTACATCCGTGAAACTAGCTAAAGGCTCTATTCTTATCTTAAATGTAACTACATAAGTAAGCAATGCACAATCTTTGTTATAAATGAGGTACTTATGTTGATAGAGATTAGCTACAAAAATAAATTAAAAAAGTTTACTTACAAGGGGATTCCCCTTCCATATAAATTGAGTCGTATCCTTAAGGTAATGGAATCTATGATAACTCTTGGTGAGGATCTCTCTTGTAGCAAAAGGATTTTCCAACAACTACTTTGAACAGGTAAAAAGTGTATGGAAAATTCTCCTAAAGTTCATCTGCCTTCTCAATAATTGTCCCTGAAGTGAACATTTTTGGTCTATTAGATGAGATATTTAGTTAGCCTGATGATAACATATAATCGCCCTCATCTGAATCATCTGCTTTGTACCAGCAATCTAAAGTCACTTTATCTTTGAATTTCTGATCGAAATTTAACGTTGATGTGTTGATTTGCTGAATCTAAAAATTATCAAATCTTCCATTTAGCATTCTTAGGCTGAGTTTGAGTGAGTATTGAATCTTTCTAAATGTTTCAGTATTCTTGTTGATAATTATCCAGTTTCTCCTATCCTATCCTTTATTCATTTGTTTTTGAATTAATTTAATTATAATTAAAAGAGGCAAATTAATACAATAATGTATTGTACGGGGTTTTGGGGTTTTGGGG